GATAACAACAAAGAGCGACCATTCATTTTAATGATGGCCTACGACAAGAACATGGTTGAGTGGTCAATTGAGAAACTACCTACTGTGGTTTATGACGAAATCGTGTGGGAAGATATTCCACACGATGATCAAGTAATCCTAGGAGGCTTCGTGGGCGTAAAATTCGAGATATGCGATGACGGAGAAATTCAGAATAATGGCATTGCAACGGCGACATGACAAACGATTGCAACATGATCATCAGGCTTCCGATAAAAATAAAATGTATTGGCAAGGCAAAACATATATTACACGCAAGATGTTTGCTTAGCATCCCTTATATTTAAGATCAGCTATTTTTTCATTACGTTATTTTCTATTGTGCTTTGTGAAAAAAAAAAAAAAAAATTTTTTTCTTTTTTATTTTTCTTACTTATTTGGCCGATGTTATTCTTTTTTTTCAGCATAAATTCGACAAAATTAGTATTACTGTACATTCTAGCCTAATATTCTGTGTCGGTAAATTTCTTTAAATCTGGTTGACTTTTTAGGGCAACAATAAATAAAATTCGTGTATCTTGGATTTGCTCATTAAATTATGAAGATGAAAATAATAATTTTTTTTTTACACTCGTGTTTCCCTTGGTTGATTCCTTCGCATCAACAAGACCATGAAGTATACAAACAGCTAACCAAACGAGGGGCATAATGGAGTTTCTTAATATATTCTCTTGTAAACTCATTTTTCATATATGTTTTGCTTTATGTTTAATAATAATCTCTTTTTAAAATCACCATCAAATATTAACATGCACCAGTTAAATTCAACTATGAAAAATCTTTTTTTTCATAATCATTTAGGATTAGGATTTTTTTTTAAAAAAAAATTTTTTTATATATAATATATCAACACACTATACAAAAACTAAAAGGTTGGATATAATAGTGCACTTTTCTCTTTTCTTATATGAAAAATATTAATTAAATACTTGAATAATATATAGTTTCTTGTGAAGTTAAGCGATATCGAATTCGATAAGAATGTAAAAGAACTCTTGAAATACTATACAGTATAAACTTTGGGTTAAATATGATTAATCTACATAACTGTCTTGAAGGATTATTTGACTTCAACATTATGCCTGCAAAATATAGTGGTATCTTGGAGAAGAATTTTAGCATTTTACTTTTGCCGGGTAAAACCAGTCATCTGCGTGGCAAATTGATCATTTGACTGTTTAGGAATGCACGTTGTAACTTCCAAAAAAACTAACTAGGAATAGTTAATATGGCCTAACACCACGAATGACGATTAATATTTCACAAGAATGATGCTTCTAGTCTATAAATACTAGCATTCAAATGTGATTATATATACTGCATAAAAAGAAGGAACGAGTGCTCGTATAAACGTTGAATTTTTTTTTTTTTTTTTTTCGCCAAAAATAATAATCTTAAGGGACTGCAAATGGCCAATTACAAAAAATCCGCAACCCCCCTACTATTTATGTTGGCATCATTTCTTTTCGCCTTTGAAATAAGCGCGGAAATTCATAATGTAACGGTTGGCGGAGGTGGGACGATACTGGCGTTTAATCCTCAAAATATTACTATAAAAACAAACGACACGGTAGGGTTAAGATGATTTCCAGTATATAGTATATGCTAATATTTCGGTGCACCTTGTAACTTCACTTTTGTTTCATAGGTCGTATGGTATTTTTCCGGTGGGAATCATAATGTCGTTCAATCAGATGGTCCTACCGGTTCGTGCTCACCATCCGAAGACGGATGTAAGTAAATCAGTCTTCTTTAACACTCGTTTTCAAAGCACGCATACTCAAACATATTCTTATAAATAGTTCGATCACTCACAAGTCCACCAGAGGGTAAATTTGAGCAAACATTCAATCAAACTAAAGGAATCATTTTTTACTTTTGTGCGGTGCAGTCCCATTGCGCATCTGGCATGTGGGGAATCATAAGAATCAACAACACCGATAATTCCAACGTACCAACTCCCTCAACCTCCAACACTGCATCCGGCACTTCCGTCAAGTCTTTGGCCGTCGGTAAATTTGGTTTTGTGGACTTCAGAACAGTTTTCATCGGTGTTCTGGCATCAATAGTTTCCCTTGGATTTCATTCGACCTAAAATTAATTATTTTGTACATTCCATTTACAAGTTTCCTACTTTCTACATGTGTAGCATTTTGTCTGTAATATTTTAGAAACGAGTAACTACACTAATCGCATAATGGCAAAATTGAAAAATTTTTTTTCCTTTCTTAAATATAATCGTTATCTTTAATTATCATGGTTTTTGCACATCTTTTCCTCTTCTCATTCGCTCTATCCTTACAACACCTAATAATATTATCCTCTTAGCTACAAATCATAAAGCCAAGTTTTTTAATATATGCTCAAAATTTACAATTATATGTTAAATGTCTTGATAGTAATATATTATGTTCGAGTTCACAATAAATCTTGCATTTCTGCCATAAATTTATCATATTCGTCAACTTTCTTCTTCGTTCTAGATTTCTTTGCAGGGGCACCAGCTGGGACTTGTTGTTCTGACGCCTGAGTGTCATATTCTGACTGTTGTAATAAGGTTATTGCCGTCGAAGCACTCCTCTTAACGGCCGTTGTCGTGGTTACGTTCATACCATCATCAATGTTAGGTGCCGCATTTACGATTGGTCTAGCAACTTTCGGTTTTTTTGCTGAAGCCTTCTTTCGTAAAAGCGACGCAGGGACGAAGGTGGTGAGTTCCTTTTGAAGATTACGAACTTGTGGTTCTGCTTGAATAATTGGAATAGCGGTCACAGTGGGTCTTGTCTGCTGTTCGGGTTTAGGCTGTGGGAAATTTCGCGACGGAGATCCATAAACTTGGTCCAATGGATCAATCGCATATTTGCTTTTAATAAGATCCCTTGGCGCTTTATTTCCAACTTGTATTGGTTGTGGAGTACCATAATGTGAAAATTGTGTTCCAAATGGTGGTGGCCTAGGTGGAGAATCGATTGGTCGTAATGGAAATCCTTGAGGTTGCATTTGACGCATTGGCGGATGTGGTAGTAAATATTGTTGGTTGCCTACAAATGAATTTGTCAAAATTAAAAAAAGCCAATTTTGACATTGATCGTAATAGAAACAAAAATGTTGAGACAAGTTTTTGCATACCATTTGCAGGAGGAAACGCCGCTGGCGAAGGTGTTGACATCACATTCGATCTTAAATTATTTTGTGACCCTGGGGAACTATTATACATCATGTACGTCCCTGCTGGTGGATATTGAGGAAGATTAGACGGTGCGTATCCGAAGGGGGGTGGCAATCTCGATACATTAGAAGGTTGTGTCGACATTATCGCATCATTTTCGACTCTTGATGAAGGTGGGGATCCCGGTGGTAAATCCGGTAAATCGTCTTCTTCCACTTCCTCTTCTTCATCGGAATTCTCATTTTTTTTTGGAGGTGATCCTGGCGGCAACTCGGGTAACTCATCCTCTGAATCACTTGGTGCCTTACCGGAAGGGAGCGAAATATCATCGTCCGATTCTTTACTGGATTCTATTTATGTTGCAATTATTTGAATATGATTTTTTCAGTCACGCAAAATTTGATAATTGACATACGTGAATCAGATCCCTTAGAAGATTTCTCATTATCCGAATATTCGCTGCCACTCTCCTCATCACTTTGACCTGGAGTTTGGGCTGTAATAGAAAGAAGAATATTCTTTATTATCTTTTATGTATAAGCGATAGAGTACGCCCATAAAATACTTACAACTTACTCCACTGGACGTGGTTAGTCCGGAAGAATTTAAGGATGGATGGAAATGTATGGGTTTTACATCTTTCCTATTAAACACGAGGATATACATATCGTTATTTCACGAATATTTCTCTATTAATTGCTAGTTTAAAATATACTTGCTTCTGTATGACAACACCGTGAGCCTGAAATACGACGAATAATGTGAGTGGAGTGTCACGACAAGTATAATCACGAGGTTATTATAAACTAATAAAATACCTTCTTGGCCTCGATGATTTTGGAGAGCTTCTCTTGTAGATCTTTAAGTTTAATTTTTCCATTTTTATCCAATCTTTTTTCTCTGTCTGACAAAAACCAACGTGTATTTTTGGTAAGAGACTAAATCTTGCCCTAATCTAAAATTCCGATGAAGGATATTGGAAAAACAAACCAAGAGCTCTATATCTTGCTATCTCTTCTTCAAGTTTTGATGTGTCTTTATGGACCATAACAAGAGTTCTTACTCTTTTCCTTTCCATTTTGTTCTAAGATGGATGAAATTTTCAAGCTTTGGTAAACAACTATTCTTGTAGCAAAAAATTAGAATAAGATGAATCAAAAAACAAAAAAAAAAATGCGCCTAAACATTTTTTTACTTTTTTGATCTCCTTTTGACGCATCGCCTTTCCTGTTGGAATTATTGATAATTAGTTCTAAATCTTAAATGAACATTCTCTCCAAAGAGTCTACGTACGATGTGCATCGGCGGGATTAAGAAACCTTCCGCTTTTCTTTTTGACCATTTTGCTCAAGGATTTGTATAAGATATTTTCAATCAAATGGGAATTTCAAATCAATTTTCAAGCTTCTTTAAGACAGTCGAACCTCTACGTTTCTTCGATTTTGTAAACTAAGCTTTACAAGAAGTCGATCGATCTGTGCAAATTACGTACTCGGGAAATTTAAGTCACATGATTACACAAAGCAGTTTTTTTAAATTTATATACTGTATATTCTTTTAATATATTATAATAAAAATTGAGATAAATTGATATAATATAATGGCATGCACGAAGTCAGTTTAGGTCGATAGCGCCATTATGCAAAAGGGCTTGAATCCATGAAAGCGGTAGTAATAAATATCGTTAAGACGAAAACGGCTCTTATCAAATTTGAAGAAAAAAAAAAAATATCGCCCGGTGTGGGGCTCGAACCCACGACCTTAAGGTTAAAAGCCTCACGCTCTACCAACTGAGCTAACCGGGCAGTTTAGTGAAAAAGATTTCGAACTTTAAATACTTAGATATCATCTCCAATAAAAAATGTTAATTTTTATGGACAGCAATAAACCATTACACAGGAGCTCGCGATCCCGTGACCTGAATGAAGAAATGTTAATTATTGATGCAATAATAATAGTTTGATATTTTGAAATGTGCGAATATCATACGTCAAAAAGTAGTGATTACCACATCTCTAAGCAATGCTCATAGAAATTTGCCATAATGAACTGCATTGGAAGTGATCGAAGAAGATTCACACCTATTACTTTATCTGTACAATAATACGACATATGCATATCAATTGAATGACCATCCTATCGGTTTTATGTCAACAATAGTAAATATCTGATTTGCAATGATCCTTAATTTAAATATCAGATTCGCGCGCTATGTGAATAAACTAATGTTTTCGCCGCAGAATTAAGAAATTTATCATTGTAATTATTATAATTAATATTATTTCTGTTGAACATACACAATAGGAAAATGATTTCTTTTTCAGGCATCATGTTTAAGACATTGTCCTAATTATTATGTACCGTCATAAAATGCAACAGTAATATTATCTGTGTAATTAGATAAGGGAGACAGGGATCCCAGCCCAATCTATTTTAGATTGTATGTAGTCGACAACAGTAATGAATGTATGTAACGCAGCATCAACCATATTTAATAAATGCATAAACTCTCTCGCCACCTCACCACTTCCAATACCAAATATACTGGTAGATTTTCTTGAGTCTCGCAAAATTTTTAATTATCGATTTTCAATTTTACGTGAAATATGAGAAAAAAAAACACCGTTAACAGATTTGAAAATCCTAAAGTCTATACCCCCTACCGTTACCGTCGACCGAATGTAATCAGACTTCGAGGGTCGGTGTTACTAAGAATTATCGGTCCAACTCTCTTCATCGCCGCATTTTCGGCAGTTGTTACGACGCTTTATACTCATACATCGCTTAAGCTGGGAATGAGTCAATCGTTTTCTACTTTGGTTGGTTTCGTGGTTTCGCTGTTACTTGCTTATAGGACCAATACTGCTTACGATAGGTAATTTTAAAATTTCACATGTGTTATAGTATGATAACAAAGTTCACACGCATACTCCTATTTTTGATCAAAGATACTGGGAAGGACGTCGATTATGGTCCACAATGACTGTAGCAATTCGAAACATCGCTCGATGCATTTGGGTAAATGTCGATGAGAGGGTACCCAAAGACCTGCTTGAGAAGAAAACCGCAATTAACTTACTTTTGGGATTCGCCGTTGCCACAAAACATTACCTTCGTGAAGAAGATGGTGTCAATTATGACGACCTCAAGCCTTTCATCGCAGACATTCAATCCGATCTCCCCGGTTTCATTGACACTCAGGCTCAATCCGCCAGCAAAGAAGGTCTTTCGTCAAAACAAACCACTTTTAAATGGCTAATGGAACTAATGCAAAATAATTCAAAAGCTACCAATCCTATGTTACTCCTAAATCACAATCTCCCTTTAACAATTACATTGTATCTTTCTTCCTACATTCGTACCCAAAAAACCAAAAGCCCCCAGGCCACTGATGATGGATCCATCAACTTGATGTATGCAAACCTAAGTACCATGGTGGATTGTTTAACCAATCTGGAGAGGGTACTAAGGAGTCCCATTCCACGGGCCTACGCGATTCACCTCTCGCAAACTACGTGGGTATACTGTTTGGCATTACCATTTCAATTAGTATCTTCCAATGGGTGGAACACAATATTAATTACATTCTTGGTGTCGGCGGTTTTGTTGGGAGTGGAAAAGATTGCCGAAGAGATAGAGAATCCATTTGGGATTGATGAGAATGATTTAGACCTGGATGATTTCTGCGGGTATGTATCATCTGAGCATTTATCACCAACTTTTATTCAAAGAAGCATATCTTCACATTAAGTCGCTTTCATTTCATTCTTTCTTTAATAGTATCTTGAGGCTAGAATTATCCACCATCACCGCCCACAAAATTCCCTCGATTGATGAGTGGATGTACAGCCCCGATAATCGGGTATTCGAAAATAACGACATTTCGGTGCAAGAAGCAAGTAAGCAATCGTTCAATGAATTGAGAAACTTACTTTCTGATGAAAATGAAAAGACTCGATTAAGTGTGTCAACCGAAAGATTGGCCTCGGTCAATCCTGAGGAACAAGAAAAAAAGGAAGATAAGATTTCAATTAATGTGGAAGAGATTAGTGATAACAAGGAGGAATTAAAATAGGCTAAATGAAAAAAAAGGGATTGGGATAGAAGGAATTTATCGTGTTTGGCATAAAAAAATTTTATTGGGTAAAAATTTATTTAATGATTTTAAAGCAATACATTTTGTACTATAATTACATTTTCTCTTGAAAACTATGTGTTTTTCTTGTAATTTTCGAAACTGTCAAATGAGAGTTTACCTTATGAAATAAGACAATTCGTCCGATTAAAAATATAAATGGCGAAAATCTAGGCTCAATCAATTTAATTTGATAAGGTAAAACAAAAAATACTGTTTCCTCAGCAATAGTGAACCGAAATATACAACAAATAACATGTAAAATAAAATAAAAAAAAACAATCACAAGTTTTGTTAATATTCAAAAATAAAAAAATTGATTTTTTATCATAAACAATTATATTTTTATACGCAGTAATAGGTACTCATTGCGCACAAGCCACACCCATAGGATATTGAGGATAATGAGGATATTTAAGATAATGAGTGTATTTGGGATAATTTAGGATACAATTGATTTTGCCCATAAACATTATTTGCTTTCTTCTACGATCATTATTACGTAATTCAACAATCGGATCGCCAAGCTCGACCAAAGTCTCGCGCCTCTTACGACTTATCAACCCAACGCCAAAATAGCATATACGTAGATAGTAAACCTATCTGCGACGTGACGTCACCTGAGTGCACCGTGAAAAAAAATTAAATATACTGTACACCGTATATACAGTATATGAAACAAATGTAATAAAAAATTAAGATTAAAACTTAAAAATTTATATTAATTAATTTTTTTCAAAAAATTTTCTTTTATAGTAACGATCTTTAAAATAAAAATTATTTTTTCAAGTATTCTTAAGTATATTTTTCAAACCTATTATTTTTATTATAAAGCTTTACTACTTTTCAATTAACAAAAATTTGTTTTTTCATACAATTGTTTATAAAAATTAAAACAAATAACTTTAAATCTTTTTTTAACTTTGAAGCAAATTCAATTTAAAAAATAAAGCATTATCATTTTCAATTTTATAAACTATCTCAAATAATTTTTTTGTAAAAAATATATTATTAAAATTATAATTTTTGAAAAAAAATTTTTTATAATTAAAAATCATAATTTGAAATTTAAAAACAATCCTTTTTAACTTTATCAATATTTTCATTTCTATTTTTTAAAAAAATTTTAAAAAAAAATTTTATAATTGTTAAATATTTCTTTTGTTTTTTTAATATATTAAAAAATATTATTGTATTAATTTTATAATAATTTATTTTATATTTATAAATATATAACAGTTGTAATGCTTCATAAGTTATTAAAAAAAGATTCAAAATTCAAATTTACCTAATTATAAAAAATTAATATTTTTATAATTGATTAATCAACTTCCAATTTATATTATATTAAATTAATCAAAAATCAACTTTCAAATTTAATTAGATTGCATAAAAATAAAATTTTGATTTTTTAAACAATTCAGATTGAAAAAAGATTAAAGTAAAAAATATTACACAAAAAAAGATTTTTGATCTAACTTTGATAAAAATTCATTAAATTAAAACCAAATTGAAAATATCAAATTTTATTATATAAACTTAAGATATTAATCCTAAGCTAATTTATTTCAATCTAAAGTTTGTAAATTTATTTCAATTGTAATATTTTATAAAAACTTAAAAATATAGGTTGAAAAATAAGATTATTAACTATAGATAATAAAAAACTAAACAAAAATTACTAAATTAAATATGTAAATTTATAAAATTAAATTAGAATTTAAACAAGATGTCAATTCTATAAGTAGTGAAAACAATAATACTATACTATACTAGTGATATATAGTATCTCAAGAATCAGTAATAACAAAAACTGGAATATTGAAATTGATTTTTATAATAATATTTTATAATATATTTCAACTATAACAAATATAGTTAAAACTAAATTTAGTAAATTAAATAATTTAAAACTAGTAATAAGATTTCTATTTTCTATATAAGTTCTATCTGATATATAAATTATTTACTATACTTGATATTTAAAGTTCTTCATATAGTTGAATATATTAAAATTATATAAGAGATAAATACTCTAACTAATAATAATTAGATAATATAATATTGATCTCTACTATAGGTAAAGTAAAACATTTGATATAATAATAAATAATTTATATTAATAAAATATCTTATATCTAAATATTTATTTATAATTAATATATATTGTATATTGTTATAAAAAAAAATAATAAGTAGATTAATTGCTAATTCTTATATCCAAAGCAGATTTAATTTCACTAAGTGTATTTCCAAATTAATTTCAGATTATTTTAATTTTCTTTCACCCAATACTGAGTAGGTAATCATAGCTGCTTGGAGCCTCTCAACAAAATATATTGTTTTAAAATTTCTTTTCAATATTAGTCTAGTAGTTACTGTAGGCAAGCTAGTATTTAATTCATTGTACTATTACACATGAGAGATGTTATTTCTTTCACAATGTATATCTATCACTATACAAATTAAATAAAGAAATAATATTTACCTACAAATAATAATAATAATAATAATAATAATAATAGGTGGATAATAAGAAATTATAAAGATAAAAAACTCTCTCCTGATCGCGTCTGTTTTGTTAAAAATTTTCCTTTTATGGTAATTTTAAGCAAGAAAAAATGTT